GCCAAGGGCAGTGCCAGTCTGATGAGGTGAATCCCAAAGTATGTAAAGATTTTGGTATGGGAACAGGCGTCTAAAGACTAACAACCAAAGAAAGGACAAACAATGGTGAATGCTCTTCAAGGCGCAGTATGCGCTAGCACAGTCAAGACTCGCACATCAGGCACAAAGTGACCGTCATACTGGGTCTGGGGTGAGATTAAATGGCAAAAATGTACCTTCAACGCCATGTGCCACGCATAAAAGTGTCATAAGTACGCAGGGAGCCCACAATGGCAAGCAAACACAAGTCACTGACTGCGACCTTAGGAAGTCCCAGTCCAATAACAGCCTTAGCGGATTGAGGAAAGCAGATCCCTCGATAAGAGATGATCGAACCGAAAAGTCGATATCACAACCGATGGCATGTAGGGCTGAGATTATGGCGAGGGAATGTTCATCAGCACATATGCTTACCACGGAACATTGGGCCGCCTGTAAGTAGTCCTTGAGAATGGATACTTGCCAGTGAACGAGCGTTTCGACTCATGGTCACGAATGCTCATAACTGTATGAGAAAATGTAATGACAGACTCATGTTTGTCAGCAGGATAAGATCTTTCAGAATAATTCTACATAACGGTAGATGACAGGCTTAAATCCACTACCCTGAAGGTTAGGGCGAGTCTCGAAGTCAAATTGTTCAGATTTACTAAAAACAACGAAAATCAAAACAACAGCAATGGAACCTGGATCCGAAACCGTCCCTCCAGATAAATCAGAGTTAGAACGAAACGTACTTACCAAAATGCTCCACTGATTGGAGGCTTGTGCCTCCATTCACCCGCAACCTCAATACAGGTCCACAACAAATAACCCTTCCATTCTGTTGTAATTGTGTGCTAGCTGGGTGATTTAGGAGATTAACAGAACTTATTCTATCGCGATTTGATAGACTAAATACTTGAATTAGAAAAAAAACTTAAGGAAGAAGACAAAAGACACCAGACACAGGTGAAGATTAACTATATCGCAGACGAAACAATGGAAGAAAGAGCGCTACGGCTCGATTGGCTACGACAGGGAGAAATGAAGTCTCAGCGAAATGTTACAAAACGTAGAATTGTTCGTGAGGACCTGACCGCCCTAAAACATTCGCAGAACTCAAGGATGCTGATAAATGGCAAGGCCAACCAGGTTTGGAAAGAAGCAGTTGATTAGTCAACAGCAGAACTTGAGCTGCGAAACCCTCCGCTTGCCTCGAAGCCTCCACTACCTCGAACGGTACAGAAAACGTTAGATAATGGCTACAGGAAGCTTTTTATTGGCCAAAAACAAAACTTTCGAAACGTGAGGCCCTTCCGATTGAGTAGTCTTGCAGTGGTCTAATATCATGACCCCTATAGTGTCTCACGTGGTTAATCATGATCCGTTTTGCATTGTGGATATGGCGTGTCGCGATGCCAGCTTCGGGATTTCCCCTTGTGTACGTAGCTCATGTTCCATTGCTCATCGTTCTCTGGAACTTGAAAATTCATTACCGTCTCCCCATTGTGGAGGTTCAATTCTTCCGGTTCTGTGACTATCCATTTTGCGTTCAATACGTTTATTTGCAGAGTCTTACCGGCGACCTTGACGGGGCATTGAGGCATGTGACAGCTTATCATGAAGTGTGGAAGCAATACGGTTTCATTCCGGAATCTTACAATGTAGTCACTCGTGAGGCTGTCGTAAAACAAGAAAGTTATCATCTACGACCTGGTAAGTAGTGGTCGAGTCTCTCACATTCAAGGTGTAGTGTTCCACCTACATGTGAATTACCGGAGTGGAGCCTTCGTAACACTTGTTCTATATGCTAGTTTGGGCCTCAGATGGTGTCGATTTTTAAGTCAGTCGGTTCTCATGCTCTGTCACTTTACAAAATGATGGCATTAGATTGCATAGGAAAGCCGGTCACCATCAATCGGTCGTCTATCCACCGGAAATTTTGTGTAGTTTGGACTCTATTTCGGCTCCAGTCCTCATCCATTACGATGCCCATGAACTTACAAACGTCTGTGAGGAAGATTCCTATCCTGTTTTTATGGGATCCTTTCATGCAAAAACCACCTCTAAAAATATCGCATTTCATTTCGGTAAATCAAAACAACGGTCTCGGTTGCCTTCCTTCAGAGGGACGATTCCAAAGACCGGTCGAAGATGATGTCTCCTTTGACGGAGTGTATGGGTGAAGTACTTTTCAAGTAGCAAACGATAAATAGTCTGTTGTGGAAGGGGATCTCTGCAGATGAGGAAAGATGTAGCACGATCTTTCCACGTTTGTGCGACAAGTTACCCTATTTGAGGCTGTTGGCTTCACTCATTTGCCTAGTTAATCCATTTTACACGGCCTTCCTGTTGCAACTGTTAGGCTCCCAGTGACCACGCAAAATGGTTGTGCTAACTTGAAAGTCCCTATCGTAAGGTTGTGTTCTGAGTGACTTACGTATGTTATCTGCTGTTGCAAACGAGCCATTGTTTCTCTGAATAGCACAGTGGACTAACGAAAGTCCAAAACGGATGAAGTTTCTAGTTGGATAAATGCTTGTGTGAAGCTGTGGCTAAATGAAAAGTTCACAGAAATCGGTGTTATTTTCCGGAGTAACCGAATGACTTACTCCTGGAGTCAATTCAACACATTAAGTTTTTTCTGCTGTTCAACTGAGTGATTGAGCAACTCTGTGCGAACTGGCTCAGGTGGTTAGAGCGCGAATTTACCGACCGCAAGGTCCGTGGTTCGAACCCGACCTCTGTCTCTCGACTTCTGTTTAGGCTTGGGCAACCTGTGAGTACCTCAGCCCTCGTGCTTCCATTGTGTGGCACAGCTAGGCACCGAAAGGGTGTTACAGTTGAGCGATCTTTCTATTTTCCGGCATCCCATCACAGATTTTGTTCAGTGATATGTACAGGGAGCTTATGGTCTTTCGGGTCGTACTCTTGTGATATTTGGGACGCTTTAATAAACCGAATAGTTACACCTTATCAAAAAGGTAACACAGTGCGAGTGTTGGGCTTATGAACGAAATCAGTGCTCCCCCCTAACGAACACCTTTTTACGACGGTAACTTTTCGCCTCACAAGGATGATCCTTAGTGCAGTGAGGTCCCGTTGCTATATCCAGCCATAACCATTGTTGATTCCTTCCTTTTATTTTTTTTATGTTGTACGACGCGATTCCTCTTTTTTGTTGTTTTGGTTTTGCGCCCATACCACCTTTCTTATTTTGACCTGAACATAAACCGTTCTTTGACCTTGTCATCGGACGTGTTGTTCACTAATGACTGGAACTTTGGATGGAAGTTTTATGGAAACCGAATGAACACAGTACGGTGATTCCTTGTGGTACGCAAGAACAAACCTTGCAAAAAGAAGAACCCAGGAGACAAGTAAGAAACTTCAAGCAAGATGACCGGGGCTTACCAGTGGAAGTCATTAATACATCTGAAAAGTTTGGTGGGAAGCATATACCGAAGTCTTGGAAACTCCATACACATACATTATCAAGTTGATGCAGTGCCAATAAAACCCCACATTCGTGAGCAGCTGAACCCGATCGGCCAACGTGTAATTTGTGCGGACAGATAGGATATCATAAACGAGAGATTCAGTTGAGTCTCTCGTGAAAACTAAACTGACTTGCAAATGAGTGTATTTCTCGAAAACAATCCAATTTGGGTTCAAGTAGAACATAAGGTTGACGGAAACTCGGGGACTGCGCCTACCTGATGACCCCCAAGAAGGGCGAAACCGGTCATGGGCTGTCGAAGAGTTTTCAGCCACCTGGTGAGTAGTTTCCTTTATGAGAAAGCCACTAGCTTTGAACGGTCCCCACACGAGTCTGAAAATCAGTCACAGTACAGAAGTGACTGAACTTACCGTTGTGATAGTACGGGCCATCTTCTGTTGGAGGGGAAACAACTTGTAATACCGGAAAGACCTGCGTCATGCATAAGCAGTGACGTTTGTGGAACGCATTGATAAGTACCCACTACCCTTTTCAATCAATTGGAAAATGTTTGGGACCGATTGGGAAGTCATCGTTTCAGAGGGGTTTGGTAAACAATCGGTGGATTTATTGCTGGGCAACGTTTCGCTTTTGACACAAAAGCTTCGTCACTACCCTATTTAGTCCTAGTTGTTTATCGAATTGTTACCATTACGGATTGGTCGATGCACAGTTCTGGCTTGCACGTCATGTGAAGTCCTTAAGGCATATTTACGAGGCGACTTTTGTGAGAATGGACGTCAGGCGTGAACCAGTCCCAAAGGATGCTGAGGTAGGTCCGGCTTAGAAAACGCTGATGGCCTTATTAGGGAGCACACCTCGAATACGCATTCCTCTATTGGAGCACATTGAGACATGTGTACCTTCTCGGTCATGCATAATTGGGTGGGATGCAGTTAGATACATAACTACATCGTACCCCACACCACATTCTTGCCAAAATGTTTCGTGTATCTACGGTCGTAGCGAAAACCGGGTGGCTTGGTAATTGTTCTGCGTACTGAATCCCAAAATACGAAGCCTACGGAGGATAAGGCGTCTACGGCGACTGAATCATCTTCCGCAAAGGATCAGAAAATTTCCGCCATATTTCCTTGATCAGTTATATTGGTAGTCCGTCGCAGGTTGACTTGTTAACTTCATTTCCAGTCAGACGAATTTTTCGTACTGCCTGGGGATTGGCAATCGAATTAGCTAAGTGGTACTTCTGCAGTACATAGAAATCTGATTGCGCTCCACTATCATTCTCAATGACATTCTGGTTCTTCTCATCAATCGAGTTAGATCTCATTCTCCGTAGGAGTCGATTAGAAGAGGATACGAGTCTGGGCAATTGTCGTGATGATTGACAAACAGTAGTTACCACGATCAGAACAGTGTTGGGTTTCATATACGGTGGTCACTAATCTCTGTTTTTTCTAGACAACCTTTGGCACCTAGGCACTTGGTTTTGGTTTACCCCAAAAGCTGGAGTTACCCGTGATACAGCTCGTTTTTCTCACCCTTTTATGCCTCAGAGTTTATCGAATCTGTCTACTACCTCTACCGCGCAACCAAGGACCCGTTATTCATCCAAATGGGGGTAGATGTGCTTACTTCCATCGAACTCGTGACGAAGACTCGATGTGGATTTGCGACGGTACGTAATAGGTTCCGTCATCCTAATTTTGCTTGCGCGTGAGAAATCATTCTCACATCACCTTTTACCCACCTAGGTAGTAAATGTCACCACGCACGAATTGGACAACCGAATGGAATCCTTCTTCCTATCAGAGACCACCAAATATCTATATTTGTTGTTTGACGAGGATAACTTCATCAATGAATTGCCCGGCGACCGACCAGTCTCACGACCGCACATCTCTCCTTCCGGCAATCAGTGTTATCCAGAACTGGGCGGTTATATATTCAACACGGAAGCTCATCCAATCGACCCAGGTGCCTTAAACTGCTGTTTCGCCAACAATCTGGACGATTCGCTGTCTTCTGTGGAGGACCCTCTAGCGGAGGAGAGTCTTGCAATCCCAACTCCGGACTTAATGGAAGAACTTGAGGCGCTGAGAATTAAGGAAAATGAATTCAATCCACTGGACCAGTTGTTGGCTCTGATCGACTCAGCTTCTCAGGGTTCATCGCACACAGATCCGGATCAGTCTGGAGAATCGATCTACTCTTATACTGATGAAAATCCAGCTGAACGTGATCTGTACGAACCTTGGACTGAATTACGTGACATGGTACTTAGCGTAATTTCATCGCCCCCACCAACAGCTATTCCTTCGAACCGAAGCTTTGAAGTACCCGTATTCGATGATCTTCACTCCATTCGACCTCAACTATTAACCTGTCCATCTCCGCCTTTCCACCAGCGGTACACGATCGGTGGTCAGTTAGTCAATTTCGCAAACTGAGTCGCAAGGGCACGCGAAAACTAGCCCCACGCATAACTTATTTGCACTGTGATATTCATTACTTTATATTTGTTGCCGTTTGCTAGAACAATGAGTACAACTTTTTATGGATTACAAAGCGGGATATTTTTTCACGTTTTTCCGCCAACGTATTATTTCTGAATGGTTTTCACTTTGTTTGCAGTGAGAGTCGAGTTCATGGTAGCTGTGCGCGGATGAGCAGTGTGGTTTTCTAGGAGGACAATGGTGGACACTGTCGCTGCTGGCGCCATTACTCTGTCACTCCACCTTAGATGCGATGCAGTTTTATGGGACTGCTCAGTCAATAAGTGTCTGGTGATTCATTACTGTCGCTTCATTACGCTATACAATTAAGCTGTTTGATTCAGATTACCGACGAGTGATTCAAATCAGATTCAACTCCAAAAAAGACGAAAAAGTACTTTCATCAAGGGAATGTTATCAAGGTAAACAAACTGTGCTCAGTGGTTAAAGCGCAAATTCGCTGGCCATAGTTTGAAACCTCCGCATCTCTACTGTTCCTGTCTAGGCTTGGGCAACTTTCGAGTGTATCAGCCCTCGTGCTTCCTTCGGGTGGCATGGCAGCTAGGCACCGGAAGGGTGTTACAGTTGGACGATTACTATGACTGGTCACTGTTCTGGATCCTGTCGGCAAAAACACGACGCTTGATTCGAGCCAGCTTGTTATTTACGGAACATAGAGTAGTAGCCTTGAATTCCAGGTTTGCTACTGGATATTTCAGTTTACCCGTCAACGCGTTCGATCGGCGGAGTTCTTAGGGGTCCGTTTCTCTCTGGACGAAATCAGTTAACAGGCATCCGGCGTTTCGATGTGGGAAGGAATCCTTACCCCCAAATCGTCCGATGTGTCGGCTATCTACGGTAACCAGTCTTCTCTCCTATGTGCATGGTATTGAAACAGTAATTAGACAAGAAAATTTCCGCTCTTCCTTGGATGAAGAACCGACTGCTTTGACTCCATTCAGACGAGCACGACTTCATTGGTATTGTACTGGTTATCGTACGGGTCCTCTCTGATCCTAAAGATAAGTTGACACGAAGATTGAAATAGAAACCACTACATACTGGCCGGACTTAGTTTTTCGTGATACGGCCGTGTAGTCGAACCGTGTTTACCCCAAAAGCACTTAGAATGCTTGTCAGTACGGCGTCCATTGGAGGAAAAAACGCGATAGCTTTGGCGTCTCGCTCGCTTTGCGCAGGCTTAACAAATAGATGGGCTCGTAATATCACTTCCGCAATCCTTGAAACGTATGATTTTCTTTTCGTGTGATGCGTCTGATTCCCTTGGTACTACCTAAACCATTATACAAATAGCATCATACTACCCAATCCCATTATCCCACAACAGTTGTCGATGTCCATAGAATGAGGTTTATGTGGCTGAACTAAACATGACTCGCCAAAATTATGGTACCACCAGTGAATGGAATACTGGATGAGGGTTACTTCTAGGAAACAAACAGAATCTGCAGGAAGACTGTTCGAAAGAACCGATATAAAAAGGAAGTGAATAATAAGCGCGACAAATTATACAATGAATCCTCGGTACCCTTTGGTCAAGAAAGCTTCAGACGATGCAATCCGGTCGTTTCTTTCAGACATTTCTGCAACTATACACTGCTACTTATAAGATTGCTGAAAATTTTCCGACAGCCCACAACCGGTTTTGCCCTTCTCGGGGCACACCAAGTGGGCGCAATCTCCGAGTTTTCGTCAGACTTATGTTTTAATTTAACCCAAATTGGACAGACTTCGACAAATGCACTCATTTTAATGTCAATTTGGTTTTGACAGAAGACACCTTCAACCCAGCTGAATATCGTTCACGATGTTCTTGAGCAACTGAATGTGCTGGATCGGGCCGCCTCGTGTTCCATTTGGGACGAGCCCCTACCTGATTAGTCTCAAGGATGGCGAAACCGCTCATAGGCTATCGAGGTTTTCAGCGACCTTATGAGCAGTGTATTACGTCTATACAATATATCGCGATATATCTCGAGTATTGTGCTGACTGAAACATGAGACGGCCTGGTCCAGCACATTCAGGTGCTGAAGAATATCACGCAGGGGAGGTTCAGCTGGGTTCCAGGTAAGTCTCCCGTCAAAACCAGATTTTTATTCAGATGAGAGTATTTGTCAAATTTCCCAATTGAACTTGTGTCCTCTGTCTTCGTGAATTGGGACAACTTTCAAATACTTGCTCACGCATGAACAAAACGGGAACGACAGTTTGCCGAGACGTGGTACTCCACACAAAAGTCGATCAATAAACAAATACACATTAACCCAGTCTATCATCCGCTATGAGCAAAAGGACTACACAGTCACGGGACTCTGATACGCATGGAAAATCAAGAAACCTAACGACAACTAACGGACTGATGGGTTCAAAGGAAGAGAACTACAAAAAAAACCGATCACTGAATCAACCAATCAAGGAAACAAATCCAAACCACAAATCAAGGGGAAAGCGACCTAATCGCAACAGAACGATCACACACAGAATTGTCGAACGAATCAATCAGACACAAGAGATTGAGAATCAGATTCATAGGGGATCAATAAAACTACGCGAAGACCGCCTTCAAAGCTAACAGATGCTGTTTAGGAGCTACATGAGCACAGGCAGAAGAGGGTGAATTCACCCACTCAACCCCGCACTGACGATGTCACCGCGGTTGGTGATGAAACGTTTGCGATCCAACTGCCAAGCTCGGCGAACAAACCAACAACCGATCAACGCACCCGAGCTACGTATATTACATGATAGCCACTAAGTCAATTTTGGGCTCATAGACAAGGTCTTATACGCTCTTTATGCTGCTAAGCATAAGGATTTTTAATCAGAGTTGAGAGCAGTGCTGGATGTTGACCGATTCAACATTTTCACTGCTTTTGATGAGCTGAGACGTTTGAAGTGTTGCGTCGACTTTTTCATGTATCTCAACCCTTGGCTACTCCGTGATAACGAACGACACTAGTGGATGTTTTCGTACGCATCGCATTGCTAACCACTCATTCAGAATGCCGGGGGGCCCTAGGGTTCCATCACATTCAGGTGCTGAAGAATATCACGCAGGGGAGGTTCAGCTGGGTTCCAGGTAAGTCTCCCGTCAAAACCAGATTTTTATTCAGATGAGAGTATTTGTCAAATTTCCCAATTGAACTTGTGTCCTCTGTCTTCGTGAATTGGGACAACTTTCAAATACTTGCTCACGCATGAACAAAACGGGAACGACAGTTTGCCGAGACGTGGTACTCCACACAAAAGTCGATCAATAAACAAATACACATTAACCCAGTCTATCATCCGCTATGAGCAAAAGGACTACACAGTCACGGGACTCTGATACGCATGGAAAATCAAGAAACCTAACGACAACTAACGGACTGATGGGTTCAAAGGAAGAGAACTACAAAAAAAACCGATCACTGAATCAACCAATCAAGGAAACAAATCCAAACCACAAATCAAGGGGAAAGCGACCTAATCGCAACAGAACGATCACACACAGAATTGTCGAACGAATCAATCAGACACAAGAGATTGAGAATCAGATTCATAGGGGATCAATAAAACTACGCGAAGACCGCCTTCAAAGCTAACAGATGCTGTTTAGGAGCTACATGAGCACAGGCAGAAGAGGGTGAATTCACCCACTCAACCCCGCACTGACGATGTCACCGCGGTTGGTGATGAAACGTTTGCGATCCAACTGCCAAGCTCGGCGAACAAACCAACAACCGATCAACGCACCCGAGCTACGTATATTACATGATAGCCACTAAGTCAATTTTGGGCTCATAGACAAGGTCTTATACGCTCTTTATGCTGCTAAGCATAAGGATTTTTAATCAGAGTTGAGAGCAGTGCTGGATGTTGACAGATTCAACATTTTCACTGCTTTTGATGAGCTGAGACGTTTGAAGTGTTGCGTCGACTTTTTCATGTATCTCAACCCTTGGCTACTCCGTGATAACGAACGACACTAGTGGATGTTTTCGTACGCATCGCATTGCTAACCAGCCGAGGTGACTTAGGTTTCAATTGAGAACGCACCAAATCTATCTTAGCGGCAGCGTAGCCAGCACAGGTTTGGAAAATGCGTAATGCAGCGGCGGTAGCGAAGTGAGGAGTATTCTCATCTATCGGGCTGAATCCGCTATCACCTGGAGTCGACGACGATGTAGTATCATTGCTCGTGAGTGAATTTCCTCAGGATTACAGAATGCAGAATATATCAGTTGTGGTCGATGAATATCGGTTTGGCTTTGAGCCTTAGAAACGAACGAGTGGACACCCGGAAGTAGTTAGGTGGACCAAAGCAGGTCGTGCTCCCGATCTGGCTGAGGACCTTTTGGGTTTACTATCATACTGAGTGCATAAAGATGGGATGGGGAAGAACCAGTTAAACTGTCATTCAGACACCCATTAATAGTATTGCGAGCTGGTAGGAGACGTTTGAGGAAACGACCAGATTACATTGTCTGAAGCTTTCTTGACAAAGTAACATGCGCTGATCCCATATTCTTGGTGTTTTTACTGTCCACTTTTTATGTTCTCACGTCAGTTCTTTCAAGTATTGTCCCTTCATATTCTGTTTGTTTCACAAAAGGCCCTTTGTCCGGATGCTCAAGTCATTATTGACGTGGCAACAATGGTGTTACGGCGGAAAAAAACACGGGTAGTCATGTAACATTCCGCGGGGCATACATAGTCACCCTAAGCCTGTCCCTAGAACTTGTCGATGGCATCTGTTGGAGAGTTACTGTCGTCGCACGTGGCACTGGAGTATCGTGAAAGGTTATAACAAAACGCTAGGTCAACATGTTTTGAAAAGCATTAAATAGAAAAATATATACACACGAGAATTCGCGAAAGCGCACCATCCGGTTGGCACGACACAAACTGGTTTGAAAGAAGATACAACAACCGTTGGTGTCATCGGCGATAGCGAAACCGTTTGAAATGGAACCATAGCTGGAAAATATTGTTTTGGAATTGACAACGAAAACCATGTTTGTAAGAGTACTCCCATTCGCGATTGACTATCTTGAAAGCGATATCTTCGTATGGAGGGCCTGCGGAGAACCGCAAAATAGCGAAATCTCGTTGCGATGGATCTTCGCATGGGGTAAGCGTGTAGGTGGGGGTTTTGCTCTTATCAATCAGGTCCGGATAGAAAACGTTGAACTTGTAGCCTTGGACAACTTTCGGAGGCGGGTTGTCCAAGTCATAATGGGTCTGATTGTACTTGTTCCATACAAATCCCGTGTGCACGCGATTGAAGAAACGGGGCTTTCGGGGTCGGTATTTATCAGACCACAGGAAAGATTGGTCTTCTAGTGGGATCTGCAAAAAGAGGCAAGGGACGATGGTGTCAATTCAGTACCATCCAGAACTCAGACATCCGAGTGCGAACCCTAGCAAGATGGGCTGATGTCGATAGTGTATACACTTCTACACAGGGAGCAAGCAGAAGCAGCATTCGAAGAGACTACATACTGAAATGGAAAATCACTCCGAGGAAAACAGGGGAAGTATTCGCTCTTGGCGGTCATTTTTTCCTCCAACCCGAAACAGCCTTAAATGCTTCGTTTAAGTACGTCTTCGAAGCTACAACCACCGAATGGGCAGCCATTCATCATCAATTGAAGCGAATTTGACGACTGTAAGACGAATTATCCTTCAATCCTCTAGTTTCTTACGAGGAGACAGAGTGGTTGGGCGAACGAGAAGAAGCTACCTTTCTGAAGCCATCTATCTGGAAAGAACGTAGCACCACGAACAACTTGACAATATAGCAAGCAGGAACTCCATAACTTCAGCTGTTAGGGGGGAAATCCGGAAGTCATCCTGCAGTCGGTGCAATATGACGGGAATGCAATGAGGTGCATATGTAGTCAGGCAAGAAAGTCACCCTAGAGGGTGATGATTCTGAGACTGATGAACAAAGGAACTATGCATTTTTTGGACTACACTCCTCAATGGGGACGCAAACCAAACGATGAAAAAGTTTAGTACAAACTCCCAACTAAAGAGAAAACAGTGGATCTAGATAACCCCTACAGCAGTGAAATGTCCGAAATACAGAAGCGCTTGACAATGGAGGAGTCGAATTGGGTTATCTAATCCATCTGAAACGTAGCTTAAACTTGTTTCCTTTCAGACTTCGAAGATGGTCCATTCACTGAACGGAACGTACTATTCATGGGGTTACTGAAAACCATAAGCCGGATCACGACCAGTTTCGTCCTTCTTGGGACCCTTCAAACTGGTACAGTGCGTTCAGTTTTAGCCATTGTGAAATGTGCTATATGCTTGCGAAACGGTAGATCCGGTAGTTTTTTTAATGTTTGTCTTATCGCTGTTTTTGTGCAAGTGAATTCGTAATCAGTTTGGTTCCGCAACTTCGGTTGCGGAATTGTAACACCATAAACTGTGGCCGCTCGGTCAAGCGATAGCACGTTTTCCGAAAAGAGCTATCTTTGTTGGTTCCTTCTGACAACGAATTGAACAACGCGTGGCTTAGCAGAAGGATACGAAGGATATTATGAGAAGCCTGGAAGTTGCGCTTGCATTTCAGCCTTCAGGACGGCTCGGCTGTAGGCGACTTCTTGTATCGCCGAGCAACTTCATTCGCAATTATCGTCTAACAGAACGTCAAGGCCTTGTATGTCAGCCAATGGACTGTAGATATCCTGACTACTTACCTGAACAGAGAACTGTGCGTCTTCTCCATCTTCCATTCCTTCCCGAGCACGTCGCATGAGCTCCTCCTCTTCCGATGCGCGAATAGCTCCTGTTCGTAGGACTTCTTTACGCTGAGATTGAAAAAATGGTGTTCAGTTTAGTTTAATGAAAATTAATGCAGCGAAGCGAGCGGAAGGGTATAAAAACCACTTTAAAAGTGGAAAATGAACTCACATGAGGAGGACGGTAATCATGATGACAAGCTATGTTGTGATTGGTCAGGTTTATGTTGACAGTGTATCGTGAGCGATCTGCGACTGCTCCATGGATGATACGTAATACACCACCTATGACCTCGAAAGTTCATTCTTGCCACTCCATACATTGAAAATCTTTCGCTCCCAAGAAGCGCTTAATAGGTATAAAACGACTAAATTATCCGTTCTAGTACCTCGTTCAGGGTTTATCTAGAATACACCAGAAGTTATGCTTGCACATTTGGTAAGCTACTGCCCTTGAACAAACCCGTAACTTTAAGTATTCAGGAGTTATAGATTTTTTGGTCAACTGCGTCAGAGTTAAAACTTGAGGTGGTCAACATCCATATGGATTGTTAGGCCCGTTCAGCAGAACAATACGGTGGAGTCCCACTGGCATTCAGTCACCATCTTCTGGGGTCGCCTGAATTTGAATAGCTAGGGACCATTCAGTTAAAAAATCGTTTAGAGGAGATGTGACATTACAAACATTTCCCCCTAAGAACACCGTAGCGCCAGTAAACAAGAGCAGCTGGAGTAGCCATGTGGTTCTAGATTTCTACATCACAACGACAACACAGGCATCGTTATCTATCTGGACCCTGGCACACCGCTAGAATGGCCAATAACCTACGGGTCACCTATTCGGATCGACATTGTTTGGTCTTGATAATCAACTAGTGGTGCGGAGTTCAACAACATCGTCAGTGGTTTACGCACGGCTCATGGGAACACCCCACTAATAGTGTTGAGAACCTCGTTCTACAGGCTGTGATGTGAAAGCCACGTCACTGTACCGACACTGTAGTGAGTTTGGACGACCGTCTGTCCAGCCTACTGCTCGGTTAGATTTCCCTGCCTTTTGATCTGCTCGCCGAGCTTAGCAATTGGTTTGAAAACGTTTCATCTGGTTACTGCGACTTAATATACGAACGCGTGTGTAACGGCGTAAGCAGGCAAGCACCGCATCAAACGCGCCTTAATGCACTGACACTCGACTTCACAAGGTGGTCAGTTAGCTGAGGGGAAACTCACGATCTCAATGGTATTTCGGAATAGTAGCTTAATTTCAGAATTCTCATTGTTGCTAAAACACAGGAACTTTGCGACCACATCGAAGCCTAGTTAGACGTCCGACAGTGGTCATTCACGTGGCCTTTCAGTGTTTTGGGAGAAGCAGGCAGCAGAATATCTGTACCGAACTCACTGTTAATGAAGTTGGACAGAGTGGGCGTTGTTTGACTGAACTACGATGTCATTCCACCATACTTCAAACTAGCCAGAACACCATTCCCAGATGTTCTTCCCAGAAAGTCTACTGCGTAGCAGTGTAAAGGGAGAGTAAATACCATAAAAACGGTCCACTAATTTACTGACCTGGTAGTCGATCTTCGCCCGATCATCCTCAGGATTGTAAATAACAGCATCCAGCGCTACCTCAGTGGGGTCCACTCGAGGAGGTGAGTAACAAGCGGCATCGTACATTTCCTCCTCAACCATAGCTGCCGCCTCCAACTGGGCTTGACGGGCAGCACGGATAGCTTCGGCGCTGTGTGGGTCTTCTATTTGTGGTTGGGTATCCTGAGGGGAAATATTGAACGAAAATATGAATGCAACGTAACTGCACCAAGAATCGGATCCCACAGAAAAACGCCAGCCAAAAAGAACCTAAATCCACTGCGAAGAAAAGTGTTGAGGAGACATACCTCGGGTTCGTCGGGCTCTTCGCCTCGTAATTTGTCAACTGCCGGTGGAGGCATAAGCTGGGCGTCACTGCGTACCACTTGTGAGGTAGACGGTTTGGGCTGGTCTGTTCCACTAGGGAAAAGTGGTTCTTGTACGATTCCTTGGGACTGGCGAAGACATTCCAGTTTTCGCCGTAGATTCTCCTGATGCATATCACGCAATCGAGTCCGGGCCATTTGGGCGCGGACGAACTGCGCTAGGGTTTCCCAGTATGTCACGTCAACACCTTCGCCTCCTTTTAGTTTTGGTTCAATCTGTGGGAGTGCAACCAGAAAACGATGGTGTGAAACCATTACCAAGTCGGGGATAAAAAATCCTCTTGTTCGTCAAACGGACTGTGACTGTAGTCTACTGGACTACCGCTGTCACACTGTCAACAGTTCATTTCAGTTATAGAGGGGTCCCATAAAACAGAACATTTACTGAAGGGCATTTCGATCGCTGAAATTCTCGGTTTTCCCTATCCAAATCCTCGATCAACCGCCGAGCAAATCGGAGGAATTCGCATCTTTTCGAACTGTGGTCTTTTGAAGTTTTATATGTCAGATGTATTTCCCACCGAATTTTGTGTGTAATAATCGGTTTGCATAGAGACTTCGAGCGAATCTTGTCGTATGGTGACGGTGGTCACCTTTTGAAGAGATGGACAAAATGAGTTGTAAGAATGGGGATACAACTGAAGGTTAACACACGTTGGTCTATCACACATAAGATGTCTGGACCCCATATAATGCGGTCATTAAGAGGCCTGGTAATTTAAAAAGTACGAAGCAACACTGGTGAGAACAAACAATAGCCACAAAGACCAAAACAGTGCTGTGTACACCCGCAAAATTGTGACCGAGCGGTCACGCTGCACAACAAACGTCCTTTGAAACATCTATCCTTTTTTCGAAAAAGGTAGCTAGCTGAAAAGCAAAGTTAACTCAAAAAATTGAATTCAGCATCATACTGCATCGCAACAAGACACCTCGGCAGTTTTAAAGTTTCACCGACGTCGAGTTTCCAGGTTAAGGGCATACACTTTTAGTTTCAGAGTTATGGTGGCTATTTAGGATAACCTGAACTTATACAAGCAGTCAATTTGTCTGGGAATACGAATATAGCGAACAAGTCATCAATAAGTCGTATTCGTCGCATGTGTGGTCAGAGGCAGCGTGATCCCTTGGACGCGGGCGTGACTCATTGGTTCCAGTGCGAACTTATCTGATGAGTCTCAGTTGAGCAATCACAAGCAACTTCCTGGACCAACGGTGAATGAAAGCATGAAACAGTGGTGCGCGAAAATCGTAACTGAGACAGTGAGAACACGATATCTGTCAGCTCAATTAGACACAATAGAGATAGGCACATTGACTGAAAAGTCCAGTCACAACACTAATTTGGAGGAAGAAACCAGACAGAGAAAATTGGTCCTACGGATAAGGGAATGAGGAATGAAACTAAATGTAGTCACCATCCTGCAGCCTCCGAGTGAACTGTGGAAGACAAGCGAAAAAGATAGACAACAACAAGATAACCAGATAACAGCGGTAGTAAAAACGAGCACACTTATGAACACCGAGGAATTTGAGTGAATTACCTGCCGTTCCAAGGCAGCCAATTGATTGTAAGTCTTTCCCTTTAGTGTTTCGGCTACGCTTTGCATCACAGACTGGCTTATGCTGGCTGAACTCCGACCGCGACTATCAGCTCCGTATGCGGCGGACAAGCCAGCACTGTCATTTTCTGCACGACGCAATTTGTTCAATTCGTCTTCTGCCACCGTTGTAATGTCACGCCAATACTCCGCATTACGACCTTTCTCCAGCTGCATGTAGACTACCTGCAAAGAGGGAAGATCGAATCCAAGTTTACCGGAGGGGAAAGAACTTACAAAAAAGGAAAAGTAGGGAAGAGACGCCGCTTCCAAAAAAGCAACTGTTATTCAAACGGGATATCCGAAAATGACAGGGCTAATAAAAGGAGATAAGATGGGGGCTCTTGTGCATTCGAAGTAGCTTGATACGTGCTGCCGTACAGCCTTGTTATTCCAGAAATGCACAACTAGACTAGACTCTAGTCTAGTCTGAGTCTACTAGACTCTCAGAGGGGGGTCAAGCGTGCTGAACATACAACATTTTGATTGGGTGACAGATAGGCGTATAGCTTATGCTAACCAGATAGCCGAAGAAAATAATGATGATGCGTTCCAACCCGACCTAAAGAGTAAGTAACAAGGATAGAGACCGCTGAAAACATACTTTAAAAAGCAGAAGTTTGGAGATAAAAACAGGTCTTATACAAGGATGGACTGGATCACCAATAAAGGACCTTGAAACTTAAGCTTGGTACGGAGCTAGCAAATGCATGTTGATACCCGTAAAGACATAAAACTCACAACTCACTGCAAAGTGAGCGAACTCACCTTGATATCAACCAGCAGATCTTCCAAATCTTCAACGCTCAAACCTACCAGAAATTGAGTAGGTTCAAGCAGCTCGATCACTCCGGTAAACTCAGCCGAAGCCATGGCATCCTCCTCTTGGTCCGCGATGTACTTGGCTAACAGATCGATCGGTTTTGCGCGTCCGTCTGCTATTCGAATGCGTGAACGGAGTTTAGCCTTGGACGAAGAATAAATACGATGTCAAATGGAGATGATTGGTACCAAGGGCTATGAGTGACACCCGGTTTTATCTAAAATACCCGGTTTCATGAGTCGAGTTTCACAACAGAAGGATGCCCAATGGATGGTACCCAGAGAGCAACAACCAAACGCGAGCGGGTGATGTTCCTCCCAAGAAACAACGAAATTCAGCGAACCCTGGATAGCCGAAAAACTTACCAGAGCACTGAGCAACATCCTTAAAGGAGGGTTTAGCTACGGTATCAATGACTTTTTAACATGGACGATCACATCATTTGATCACAACCAAAGATCTACAGATAGCTACGAGATCAAAGAGGAACTGGCGAGAGGTTAGTTGACGAACTGAGAGGTAAAATCAACTGGGCAAGCCTGGTAAGATCGTCTTGCCAAAGGTTTTGGATTCAGCCAGTATCGCACGTCCGTTCACTTCAAAGAATCATAGACACGTGCAGCGTTCAGTGAGGCGGCTGGTCAGTTCGGTTAGTTCGGTTTGACAACCGTGAACTGTGTACGTATAAGCAGTGGCTCGGTCACCGCAACCCATAGCACCGAATATTGTAGAATGGAGTAGGTGCGGAAAAGCAATTAAACTAGGAGGGATAAAAAAGAGATAGTGGGGTAGTAGGGTCAAGTGAGTTCATACACCGCCGCCACTGGTTGCGCCATGTCGGTGACTACACCCAACCACAGATGCAATATGTCTATGATAACCCAAATCCAAGACGACATGCACCAACGCAATCAAGGCCTTTTGTTGTATTCTTTATACTTAGTCATGCGCTGATCACATGTGGTATCTTCCGCTCAGAACCTGACTGACCAAACAGAGCAGGGGATCTAGCATATGGAGCACAGCTAATCTGGAGTAATTGATGAAGTTGGTGCTAGCCGATTTGCTGCTAAGACGATTCGTCGCACCCCATGATTGCTAATTCGATGTTCCTCTGGTACGCTTCAAAGGCACTGAGAGCGAGCGAACAGCAATATTCTCTTATCTTCAACGCACAGCGGCGACGCCTCACGATCGTAAAGCAATACAGAACGCACTGCCGCATTGTAGACCCTGTTTGTCACCGTCAAGTTCACCACAGAGGTGCCTAAGTTGAAGGAAATCAGAGCGAGCTTTGGCGATTCTCGCATTCACTTCTTCAGCGATGCTGCCACTGTCCACTACCTCCAGTGGCTTTAACGACCACGACCAGTTATGGTGGCCCATTCATCAAATTTTGCAATAGCACTTTGGACTTTAGAGATGCACAGATATACCAAAACACATGGCAACATTTTTTTAGACTGCTTATTGTGTTTTGTACGTGAACGGAATCTGAACCAAGTGGCGCAATGCTCCATGTCTCTGAGGTCTTTCCCGGGAAGAAGCTCCACGCTAGATGTAGAAGGCAAAATGGACGTTTTGTTCGGTGGTTGATTCGATAACGAAGCTGGAGAGGAAAGCCGACAGAGGGCAGCATTGACGGATAACGCTTTCGGTGAACTGACGCATCCATAGGTGTTGGAGTAGGAGGATTAGAGGATAGTGGCAAAAATGTGTATTAAAAGAGGGGTATCACCAGAACTAGACGCTGCTTTCAGATCTGAGAAGACCTATTGTTGGCCTCCCATACCTAGGGGCTATATATATATATATATATATGGTGGTCGTTGGGTTGTTCG